TACTTTCAAAGCTGGCATTTCCTTTAGAATTTTGTTGATAATTTTTTTAAACAAATGAAATCCATCAGCAAAAAATGCTTTTATTTCTTTATGCTTTACATTGATGATGACTCCTGTCTTTACTCTGTTATTGAAACAAGAATTGACATCCTCCCAATAAACCTTACGCTCCTTCCTCGACCTCTCATTTTTATTTTTCAACTTGATTAAACACTTTAATCGTTTCAATTGTCCAATTTTTGAAATTATTTTACTTTTCTGTCCAACTTTGAGTTTTAATTTATCCAAAGCTTCATTACACTTTTTTATATGTTGATTGATTGCTTTGATTGAACTCCTTTCAGCGGAATTGCCTTTGATCAATTTAAGCGTTTCATCAATTTTTGACATTGTTCCTCTGAATTCATCCATAATGTATCACTAATTATTTATAAAAAAAGTAACTCACCTCTAAAATTTATTTCAATTCGATTATTTCGAAATATGTGGCAGGATGAGGTTTCCCAACGTTCTTGGTCCCCCTGAATACTACAGCATACTTCCCCGCTGTGAAGTATCGAATATTTGGCTTGTACTCCTGGGTAACTCGTTGGGGCAGGAACACTATGTTTTTCTCTAGTTCAAGTATGACCGTCTCCCCATATTTAGTATTCACTAATTTAGCCGAATATATCGTATTTGGTTCACCCACAACCAAATCTGTCAGCTTTGTAACTGCCTTATCTGTTTCTAGAAGAGAGATGGAATTCATTGCATTAAGATCCATCTATAAAAAAAAACACATACATAATAGAATTTATTTGTTTTACTTCGGAGGTTCTTTGTTAGAGGTTTTTGGTCGTGGAATTGTTGATATCAGAGGAATTATTTTCTTTTGATATATAATTTACTTGTCCTGTGCAATAGTATATGTGGAATAGTGGAACAAGGAAAATGATAGGAGAAATGATATTATTAATAAAGAATAACTCACCTTTGATTGTTACTGCTGACACTATACACTCAGATAGATACTCTGATAGTAGTTCTCGATTTGTGAACGTTATTTCTCTCTATATATACTGTTCATATTACCTTCCATATTCTCGTGATTGTTCAGACATTCACTAATCGTACAAACCACATTCTCTTTTGTCATTGACTTTCTAATCTGATTCAACTTTGAATAGATATTGCTCATTTGGAAACGATTCGTAGGATTCTTCATTCGAAATAAATATCTGTTGTTCCAATGTATATTTTGAAAAAGTTTTTGAATAAACTTATTCATTATTATAATTTTTATTATTCAAATCTTCAAAAGAAATATATAACAGACTATGTATATTATTTGAGAAAAATTGATAATCATGCAAGCTGAATTACTCTCAGAAATATCTCATATATTACCCATCATAAGCCAAATATAGGTAATGATTTTGAATTCTGATAATAGCCCATGAGAGGAACCAAACATATTTTATGGTTAGGGTCTTCAAATAATAGTGAAGATGAATATTTTAGCAACACAAAAAACGGCCGTATAGACTAGCAAAACATATTAAATATTGAAAACAGTATCAGTAGCGACACCTCGCGGAATTAGGTTGAAGCGTAACACATACGAGTGGATTCTTCAAAAAGACCTCTGTAATAGGAGAAGGTAAGCATAGCAAACAGTTTCCACTCACATCCGAGTGAGGGCACTAGCAGTACCGTAAAATCAAATCTATGTAGAACATAGAAATATTTACTGAAACTCATTCATAAGCCCAATATATCTATTTAAATTGCTCATATTGGCCCAATGAAGCAAAATGAACCCCCAAATATCCATATACCCATCCATATGTCGAATATCCATACTCATGGCCCTCCAAAAAATATCTCTCGAAAACAGGGGGACAAGTTGAGTCGTACCCACACTTGCACGTTGATAAATTGGACCCCCCATAGCCACTTGGTAACGTGTCGGCTTGCCAACCCAGAGATCCAAAGTTCAAATCCTATACGGTATGATTATCTTTTTTTAATTAAATAAAATTATTAAGTGAACTGAACGTTATACGTCATAATGAATGTAATAGGTTTCCATTAGGTGGGCCAACTGCCAAATTTCCGTAGAAACCCTCTTGTTTAACTACTCTCTTATCTAAGTAATACCATCCAGTGACTCTGCTCCAGAGCATGAAAAATAAGCAGGATTCCGTTCTTTTTGCTAGTGCTCGAAGCCCCGGTTCCTCACCGTGCTACGTGTGTCAACTTTTATTATTAATTAATGTGTTTTTACTTAATTCTGCTTTTCCTTCCTCAAAAAATATTGCAATTACAAATAGGTTAGTTCGTTTAGGATAAAATCAGAGAGCGCTTCAATCGAATTTATTCCTGAGCGAATCGCTTCGTCATGCGATCCCTCTCTAAAGGAACAAAAAATAGGGGAATGAATCATGTGGTCGCAAATTTTTGTTGAGTACATCAACCAGTACTAGTATTACCCGCTGGCGAGTGGCGACCAAGAGCTTCCTATATTCGGGCTGCGACGGTAACGCGATGATAGGGTGATAAACAACATTGTTGAAGGCTTTGAGGACGGTCGCCGAACTTCTATAAGCTTGTGCGATCTCAGCAACGCTTCTGACTCTGTAGACCACGAATTACTGATCACATGGAACCCAAAACATTCTATTCGCTAATACACTCCAATCGCACCAATACTTGCCCCATAAATTCTATTCTAGCTTTTGAAACGAACGAATACTGGACACTGTCAAACTTCTAGGAGTTATCCTTGACGATTCATTAAACTGGTCAGAATACACACGAAAAGTTTGTTCTAAACTTTCCAGTTTGATTTTCATCATGAGACAACTCAGAGGAGTGATCAATATAGAAGTTCTTCTTACTATGTATTATTCATTATTTCATTCTTATTTATCGTATGGAATAATCTTATGGGGAAATTCTATGAATTCATTCAATATTCTTAACTACAAACGAGAATAGTAAGAGTTATCGCGAATGCTGGACACAGAGACCACTATCGGCCTCCTTACCAACAATATGGTATTATGTATTATATCATTACCATCCCTTTACATCATCAAGTGCTGGAAATTCATAGCTATAAGAATAAACTACAACTTAATTCCCATTTTCATGACTATAATACTCGAGGTTTAGGCCAAGTTAGCCCCCCCACCCCCCGATACAGGTTGGCAAGATCTTCAAGAAATTCGCTCAATGTAAATTCATACAATCATCTACCTACCCATGTTACAAACATGGAGGCTAATGAATTCGAAAAATGGGTGAGACAATTTCCTGAGAATTCATTTGTTCTGAAACTATTCTGTGTATTATTTGTATAGTATTGTTTTTTTCTGTATTTTTATTTTTTGTAGTTATTTGTTTCTTGTTATTTTACTTGATATCTCATACTTCATGAATAACTCAGTTATCAACTTTTATAATCTGACTTGCTGCAAAATGTGTATACATTAACGTGGTCAAATGAAGTACCTACTTACTTACTTACTTACTTAAGGATGCGGAGGCCTTGGCGAGAAACAATGTAACTGTTGCGCCAACGAATTTTGTTCGAATTTGTGCACTGTATATTTAATCGAATGGCAAATTAAAACGAAATCATATACATCAGTTTACACACCACTACCTCGTACAACTGCTCGCAGCTTCCTTCACTCCAGCTACCGGCGCCGATATTCCAATTTCACCTTCCTTGTACGAGTACCAGTAATCGGAGTAACCTAATCACCAATGGGAGGGACTTCTGTGTTGGAACCGCACTATTTGATAGAACCGTGCCAGCTGGCACATCAGTATTGGGTTGGCCTCCAGATTCATACGCGGACGTTTAAGTGTTGCAAACTCGATAGCACACAAAATTCAGTCTGTTTTTCCCTGCTCCCTACTCATCGTTCTACACCTCACCGAAATTGTGGCTATTGTTTCAATTTTCCACAAACACCAGAACGTTAAATTACAGAGAACTCGTAAGCAGCAATCCGAACATTTGTATCTATTGATACATGTCATAATTAGGATTTTATTAATACCAGTGTTCGTTCGCAAATGTTTTTAAAAGGTAAATCATTTCAGGTACCATTGCTAACTAAATATATGATGTTGGAGCGAAATTTCCCGAATAGATTTATTGATAAATGTTGTAACGCTATACTGGCGTAAAACGGTTTGCATTTTTAGCTGTGCGTACATGGCTTTTCTAGGAAGTACGTCATGACAATGGTGGAGGAACAAAATCTCTCTCTTCACGATTTTTTTCTGAACTCAAAATTGATCACACGACAAATATAAAAAATATGTGTTCAATGAATTTTCATAAACTATACAGAAGAATAAAAATTTTAATGTTGGAAATTCCTCGTTACGACTAATGGTCAACTATTCGCGATAGAAAATAAGCGTACGACACCTATCGGAGTTCTCGAAAGCTGTCAAAGCGGCATGTTTACTTTGTTTTTATTGGTTCACTTTTGTTTTTTGTTTGTGCTTATTGGTCATATCATCAAAACAAAGCGCTCAGAAGTGTTCAAGTTGCTACCGTCAGATGGGGCGACGTGTTATTTTCTATCGCGAATGAAGTGATACACTCACCGGCAAAATAACCGACCAGCGTAAAATTTGGCCGAATTGATCGTCCTGTAACTTTTCAATTCTTGTTATATACTGATGGCTTGATCATTATACAGGGAGAACAAAAGTTTCTTGAGTTTCACAAAAAAGTGGCACAGGACCGCGAAAACCGCAAGGTTCTATCTCCAAAGATAACTGAGATATCACGCAAAAGCATCGAAAACTGGACACACTGTACATAATAGTAATTTATGCATCGAGGGCGTAAAATAGGGTTTTATGGACCGTAGCTTGTCAGTAAGGGCCCGAGCGATAGCGTACCTATTAATTCGAAACTCTGATTCATTGCCAAATTCCAACTCATCAAAGGTTGAGACTTAACAATGTATTTTGTGTGTACTTTTCAGGTTAATGAAGGGGAATGCCCAGAACTAGGCTTGACAGTCCAGAACCACTTCACTGCTATCAACATCAGGCTAGGCAAATCCAAAAAACATTCCAAACATAGACAATCTCTTGTCACTCTATCCAGAAGGTAAATACCGTGCAATCCAAACCTTGTGAAATTTTCCATTCCTCTTAGATATATTATAAGATAAATCCATCTGGCCTTGAGAGAGTAAATTCCCAACATGGAGTATTGAAAATTTAATGTTGCTAACACAAATAGTGTTTGAAATGAGGAAAACCATTTTAACCTCAAATGAAATGGCTAATCCGATTCTATGAGCAGGCTTTGCTATGATTTTTTTCAAATTTCATTAATGCAATTTTGAAATGTATCAATGAATATGGCTGTATAGGTCACTCAAATGAATGTCATTTTTCTTTCGTCAAATATTTTAACACTGCATGTGATTGAAAAGTTTACTGTGAAAAAAGTTCAACACAATTCACACATACTGATTACTCTATGAAATATGACAAGATGATTTTTTCATATTTACATGGAGCAATATCAATTGTAATGAATTTAGTGTTCAACATAACAATTGTCAGTTCGAATATTTCAATAATTTTCACACCACGTCAAAATCACATGCGGTGTCAAAATATCTGACAAATGAAACACTGACGTTCATTTCAGTGCCATTTACTGCCACATTCAATGATACATCTCGAAATTACATGGACATATCTGTTGTCCAGTGAGCATTGATTTTTAATCACATTATCGTATTCAGAAAAAAATCTTGAAATGAAAAAAAAATGGCCACAGCAGAGTGCTAAAGATCCAGATGAAGAACCCGGAAGGGTATAATGATGCGCTCCAAAAGGCATTCTGGATGAAATCACTTACGAAAATCTGTCACTACCTGCCGGTCTATTACTGCGCAACCATAATTTCATGCCACGCGCACCAGGCTGCTTATTTCATCATGATTTCAACACGGACACAAAATATCCAAAAATTAGACATGAAACTCTATAAGTCAGTAACTTGAATAATCATTACTAGAATACGTATTTTGGGATCACGTGGGCACTTCGATGGCGCAAATTCATTACTGCGTGGGAGATACCCTTTAGATTTTTTCCTATTCAGTGACTTGACCACGAATGACATTGACGTTTTAGTTTTCTGCACAACCAAAACTAAGATGCCATGAGTCGATTCGATATGGATACAAATTTTTTAAGGAAAGATGACTGGATTAAACTAAAGTATAAAGTATGGTGCCATTTGAAACAAAATAATTTACAGTCGCTGACGTTAAACATTCAAAAACACTAACAGTTGTCTTTTCTACGTCCTTTTATCTAATAATGCCATCCAGTGACTAGTGTAATTAATCAAGGATAGGGTACCTAATAGCATATTCTACTGGATTGCACTGATACGGTATAGATACGTATTCAGCACTTCACTGACTTCGGTCAGAATTCGTTCAGTTCGAACTCTTCTATTCGACTAGTATGTTTACGGCACCATGCTGTAGATCCTAAGGCTGGATCGAGCCATGATCAAACTGGATCTAATCAAAGATTTAACTCGAAAATTGACAAATTATCAAATTATGTATGGAGAGAATTATGGAGACATTTTGTGAACAATTAGAGGTGGTGTATAGAAAACATATACTGCAATTTTGTATTTACTACAAATGCCTAGAGTATCCCAATATTTTATTAAAATATTTGGGTACCTAGCATATAAATTTTCTGCTTTCCTGCTTTATCCCAGGTAGGTACTTCAATTATGAATTCAGAAATAATATTATATTTCGCTACCTACTTGGCCATTATCACTGTTGCTCCACAATAGGGAATCTATTGCTAAAAGTTTTATTATATTCATTTCGAAATTTAACATAAATAGATATGTAAATAGACATCCACTAACTTTCAACCCTTATCAGCCCCCGGCACCGTCAAAAATTATAGTGCGAAAACAATCGAATTAAATAATTTTTACCAGTCGAACATGAATTCAGCTTTACCCTTGAGTAGTATCTGTTCAGCCGAATAGAAATATTATTGGTACTGTCTGAGTGCATACCAGCCGAACACAAACGCATTACAAATGTTGGAATTGAATGCGCAATAGTGCAACCAGTAGAATACGCTATAACTAATACCATCCAGTGACTAGTGTAAATAATCAAGGGAAGGGTAATACTGCAAGACGAAACGATTCACAGGCACAGTCTGGTGAAGATGTTGGACAACAACGACCTGGACGGGCCGCCGCCCCTGCGCAGGGCTAGCACCGTCGACGCGTCGACGGCCACGCCCCTCGCGCACCACACGTCGAAGTTGACGCGCCGCGCCTCGCTGGACGACCTCGAGCAGGAGTCCTGCCAGCTGACGCCGCGCATCGACCACCGGATCGTCGTCATCAGCAGCGAAGAGGTAAGAAAGTGGGGTTATTTATTTATTTATTTATTCTCAAACAGGTAGAAAACCTTATTACATGAGAATCATGATGTATATAACAACAGTACCTATTATTACAGTCTTAGAGTATATCATTGCAAATATTTTATAGCTACAATAATTGAAATGATCATTTCAAATCACTGGTGGCGCGAACACACTATAAAAACTGTTTATTCTAAATTAGAAAAATATGTTTTTCTACTAGTGCTATAAAAAGTGGCGCATTTCTCATAGTTTCAAAACCATGTATTGCTCATACTGTGAGAAATATATTTTCTCACGGCACTTTGCCAACACCACATACATGGAGAGTCAACAAAAATCGACCAAAACTTAATTGGCTGCTGTTCAGCTTTGAATAGTAGTGCTTTCGATAGAAATCGCAGTTTCCATCAAATATTATTCCAACAATTCATAATAAATAATATGATGTATATACCGAGATGTGACGATTTCGATAAATACACCGCCAGAGACATAGGTAATGGAATAAGCTGCGAAAGTTGGATTTGTTTCCGGAAATTTCAAGAAAAAAGTATGAATTGGCATACACGAAAAATGTATGGAATTTAAAAAAAAATACAGAAATAAAATTTCGGAAAGTGTACTTTTTTGAAATACTTTGAGGAACTAGAAAAGGCGTCTACTCTTTGGTCACAATATTCAATGTGGCATAGTGCCACATTATAAAATGGATACCAATAAGTTACATTACTTGGATTCTTTGGATTAGTGCAGTTGTTGAAAAAGTATAATGTGCAACATGTGGGGAGAAGTTCTTTTATCACTCGTGTGTTTGCATCACTCGCCCTTCAGGCTCGTGCCACACTTTCACACTTGTGAGAAAAGGTGAACTTTCCCCACTTGTCGCACAATATACTATTTCATACCATGATAAAATTTTTAGGGACGGAGAACAAAGCTGACTTCTGACAATAGTAGGAAGTTGTTTGTTAATTTTATCATTGTTATAATGGGTGAACAGTTATTAGTTGATACATATGGAACATCAAAGAATTGTACAAGCCGGGTTAATCGATTGGGAGATCTTCTTTTCAATACTGATCGGAGATATGAGGCAATATTTTTTGTAGATTTTATAACACATTGTGACTATATTTGCTTGTCTTCTATTTTCTAGACTGGGTATTCCAAATTCACTTCTAAGTGCTACTGTTCTAACTATATTATAGTCCGGATATACTTTACATTTTTTATAATACAGATATCTCAGAAATCTGTTTTGAATTTTTTATATTATAAGGTGCTTTGGTGTCATTGAAATGTGCACTTTGTCTCATTACAAAGCCCATAGTCCGTAGTGCCTACGATGCGATATGATCCAAATGTGGTTAATACGAAAGTGTGGAGATATAATATATACCCAAATCTTTAACAGTCTCTACTCTGGATAACTGCATGTCATTCATCGATTAATCGTATAATATTTTAGATAATTTTCGGCTGCAAGATAGGACAATACATTTGGATATATTAAATGGTAGTTCGTTTTTTACGCTCCATCAGTGGACCCTATCAATATCTTCTTGTAATTTGACGCCGTCTTGTGGGCTTTCGATCTTTCTATACAATTTCAGATCATCTGCAGATAATAGCCACTCCGAATACTTTATATTATGTGTAAGGTCGTTGATGAATATTAGAAACAGTAGCGGGCCCAGGTTTGATCCTTGAGGGACTCCGGAGTTAGCGCGAAATATCCCCATATCTCTAAGCTTTCATAGGCATCTGATTTTTTAACATTATCAACTTGCTTAACTAATTTGAGGTTATTAATATGTGTTATGTGTATTGTGATTGAACATGTGTTCGGTTACACACGATTTATCTAACCTACCATATATTTTAAATGTGCTAAGTGTACTTTGAACCTTGTTTTTATGGGCGCCACATTTGAAATATGGTAGGTTTGATAAATCGTGCGTAGCCGAACAGATGTTCAATCACAATCATAGCACACTTATTGATAATCCCAAATTAGTTAAGCAAGTTAATGATGTTGAAAAATCAGATGCCTATGAAAGCTGAGAAATATTCAAGAATAGTAATAGAGTAATGAATAAGCATAATGGACTATCCCATTTAGCCCAATGTATACTTTAGTAATATAACATTTGAACTCAACCATGAAACACATCAACTTGGCGGTTATTGTCTTTTCGCGGTTGGGTGGACATATACCAATTATATAAGTAGCGCACTAGAATAGAGCATTTAGTTTTGACCTTCTCCTGAAGATGCTAACATAGTTAGCGAAACACTTGTCGAGGTGTAATAAATCGGTTTGGTTAGCGGTAAAACAGTGTGTAGTGTATTATCGTGCCAAAGGTTCCAGCCTTCCATATACCATTGTAGTGTGCTGCTGAATACAATCATTCATTCCATTCGTTTATGTTGACTCTTTTTTGTTTCCAGAAAAGGCAAGAGCTGGTCTTCCAGCGTCAAAGAATAGAACATAACTCCATAATCGAAGAAGTAGACGACGAGTGCTCTCCTCAGAATTAATCAGTATTCTTTAGACTAGTCGTTAGCTTTCGAAAATCTCACTTCCGTTCCGCCGACTCGAAAAATAAAAGACAAGTAGGTGAGTCGAGCAGTATTTTTGTAAAAAAAAAAATGTGTCGGGATGAAAAGGGTCCCGGAAAAAATACCAAATCGTGAGAAATTGAAAAATCACTCACATAATGCTCTTACATATTTCTTCATCAAATAATATACCTAATTTTTCGTCAGACAACTGCATAACAGTTTGTGAAAAGGTTTCAATTTGCTATTATCAGTAGAGCAAGTAACAAATGGAATCATTAGACATTTTTACGATACGTCCGGGTTCTGTCTCTAGAAACACTCAGTACACTTGAACACTTGATTTACTGATTGATTTATTTATTGAATCATGTAAAATCTACATATTTTGTGATTGAAAATTAATTTCATGTATATATGATTATTTTATGTATAAAAATATGTTTCAGAATACATATACTTGAACTGAATACATATAATCAATTGACACAATGATCCTTAATTAAAAGTGAGAAAAAGATTTGATTAAAAAGGAGCATAGACTTCTTTTTGCATTTGCTATAAACCAACTCTTAACCTTTTTTATGGTATCTTATTATGAATTTTAGATCCAATAAAAACTAGAATGTTTTTCCAAAATTGTAAACTCATGTTCTTCAAGTAGTACATTGAAACAGTTTAAACACTACACTACCACACGATTCGCCATACGAATTTATAACAATTTGTCTTTTCACAAACTCGATAAACACCCTCGACTGCTTTCTGAATAATAATAGTATGTTATGAAGAGAGAGAGGGTTCCAGAATGCTCTTAAATATAGCCGCTGTTGGAAAATCTGCCACTGCTAACAATGTCCACCACCTGACAGCAGTGAACCAGGAGGTAAAACAACCTCACTTTTCTTATTTGTTTAGAAACAATTAGAATAGTTTTTCACAAATATTAATCGTGTTTCTTTGGCTATTCATTTATTAGAACATGCTATCACATTGTGCAGTTGTACAATGTACAAAATATGCAGCGGGAGACGAAGGAATAAGATTTTCAAGGTGAATTTTGATCTCAATGTACTGTAGTCACTCACATAAATAGTTTTCATTTTAAAATGTTGCCATTTCTTTTCAGACTTCCTTCTGCAATAGGACTAATAAGAGCTAATAGTGAAAATATCTACAACACACACGATCATATTTCTTCATAATGTCAGACTAGTTCTTCCGTTTGATTGTACGAATCTAAGCTTCTTGCCTTCTTTCAGACACTTCACAAGTCTTTCAATTTAGCTCCTATTGCAAATGGAAACTATGTGAGTGGCTACAGTACTTTTAGATCACAATTTACCTACCTGAAGAATCTTATTAATGGAAACTATGTGAGTGGCTACAGTACTTTTAGATCACAATTTACCTACCTGAAGAATCTTATTCCTTCGTCTCTCGCTGCATTTGTAGATGAAATTCTGCGTGATATTAAAGAAGTCAAATCCTTTTATTGTTACAAAACTAAAATAAAAAACTGGATATAAGTCTCTTCAAGGACTTTATTTGCTTCTCTGGTTTATATTTGATTGAATGAAAAACAATACATTTTTATTCATAAATTATTTTCCGTCTCGAATTAATAAATCAATTGATTCAATAACCATAATTTTTATTTTATATACTCTACAACAAGTTATACTTCGTTAGGTTTTCTTTATTTATTCAATACCAATATGTATACTTTTAATCTTTATTATGTCAACATTTTGAATAAACTTTATTATTATTATTATTATTATTATGGATAAATAGCCCAAGAAACACGATTCGTATGCCAGAATAATTGTGTAAAAGTATTTCATCAGGTTCGGTCATCTGTCAAATTACACGCGACCTATTGGTCACAGAACTTGGTGCTTATTCAATCATCACAGAGATTTTGTTGGGTGGTATTTTGTGATTATTCATTTTTTGCGGGACCCCCAACTCAACCGGCCTTCCAAAGAACACCATTCCAATGTAGCACAACGAAAATTTGAACTGTTCTTATCAATTTTCCATCACAATGGGTCCGTTTTCTTATTTTATTTTTTAACATTCTTCATGATGTCCCTTTGTTTTCATTTCTGAATTTTGTATCAGTATTTCATGAATAAAAATGGTTGTTTAATCACCCACATCGAAATAGGAAACGGATTCATTTATAGTCGTCTTGTGCTGATTGAGATTAAAGAGGTACCTGGTGTAAAACACATCTTTATGGCTATTTTCACTTTTAGATTAGGGATTGAATCGAAATATTCCATAGGTGAATTTTTCTAGTTAAGTCGATTCACTTCAACGTTGACAAAGCTGCCTTTGAAACGAGTTTGCCGAAAAAAATTTCTGTCATCACAATCAAAACACGAACAATCTTCAATTTGAATACACCTTCATAATATATGTTTTCATAACTGTAGAATTTGAAATCAAATACCCAATTTTTGAACATAAATTGAAGGACACATGGACAGAAATTATTTCTGGCAACCTCGAAATTGAATATAGTTCGTTCTTCCAATGATAATTATTACTCATTGTTATAAATACGCACTAAGCTCAGTTATGCACCAATTGATGTTATAGAGATAAGAAATATGAAGCTTTTTGCAGGTACGCTTGATTGTTGTTTGATGTACTGCAAGGGATTTATCAATTCCAAAAGGTTTGACTTATATCACAGTTTCAGACATTGGAAACTAATGATTACAATAATTTTATGGCTTTTGACTCCTTGGTCTATGATAATAATAACAGCTAAACCACGTGCCATGTGACTAAACATTCGGAAAATATCCGTTGGTGACTCGGTAACAGTGCTTCGCGATTTCTAACCACGAATTATAAGATGTGAAGCAATGTCGCCTGTGTAGCCACGTTTCACACTGAATCTCCTTGGTTTGAATTACCTTCAATTGTCGACTAACGATCACAATTGAATCATTACCTTTTCGATCATTGATCAGTGAGGAAGATTCCTTCGGATGAATTTTCATCAAATTAGTTCCACACTGAATAGAATAATGCTTCTGCAAACTATAATGACAATTGAAATTTCAAATCGTTTCAATTTTCAGAGCAATTAAGAAATCTTTCGGCGGAAAACGATGACGTAATCGGTGAATCTTGTGTGAACATCAGTATAATAACTTTGGCTGTGACATACAAGTCTCCGAACAACCCCGAACTGAAAAGGAAGGAACAAAATTTACGTTTTACTTTTACAGAAGACATACTCATGAGAATTCTAACGAACTAATTAGTCTATAGAGATCGTAATCAATGAATGCGAATATAACGAAGACAACGCATATAATACTAGACTAGCACGCACGTGAATTAAGAAGAAACTAGATTACAATCAATGAGTGCGAATATAACGAAGACGACGCATATTATACTAGACTAGCCCGTGAATTAAGAAGAAAGTGAAAAAAAAAACATAAGAAACATAAGACCTGTTCATTTGTGCTTGCTCTACCTGCTGAACTTGATTTTTTTTTATGACCTCGATTTACATCATGTCATGAACAGAGACAAGTATAGAATAAAAATCAACTTCACCAAGTTCAGCAATAAAAACGAACAGACCAGTAAATTCGCAGCTATCAACCTGGTTTGGTGTAAAACTGGTTTTGGGCGCGGTTGTCAGGTATAATTTACTCATTTCTCGGAAACCATGGAAATCCACTCAAGATACTTTCTAGTTTGAATTTTATTTTGATTCTATTCTTTCCAATATTCAACTTTGAGCAATGGATGTATTCTAGATATTATTGAAATATATATCTGTTTCGCCTTGATTGGTCATTTCATCAGGCATACATAGTTTGGTTTATACTTATAGACTAATCAGAAAATCGAATTACGAATATCTTTCCATATAAAGTTGGCAATATTAAATCGAATTCTCACTGCAGTCAATACATATACAGAATTTCTTAATACCCGAACACATAAATCGAAACGGCATCGTCGCAGTCGCGCTAACAAAATCGCGTATTAGCTCTGTGAACATTGCAGTTCACCAATGATTTCAGCAAAATGGTCAAGGGGCCGAAACTATTTCTTCGCATTTTGTTTGAAATGAATTTTCAGCCTATTGAGAAAATAAAAAATATGTATATCATAATTTTTCATACAAACTTCACAGATAAATAAAAATCTCAATATTGGGAACTTCCCGAATGAAATCATCGTGGAACGAGGAGTCAAACCCCACGAAATGGTGGGTTTTGTTGCACCAACCGTCTGTCAGGTGACATCTGTCAAAGTTATGTGCTGTTTATGTTCTGTGATATGGGGGGCTTACCGTTTGTGTGGGGCGGATATGTATCTGGTGGTATTAACCATAGTTTTTTTCTGTACAGGAGCTTGGAAGTGCTACTAGATTTTATTTTTTCTCAAGTGCCGAAACATAAGAAGTCATATTTTGTTGTTTTTTTTGTTTCTACCTCAGTGTATTAATTATCCCAGTGGGCATTAGGAATGAAGTGGGATAAGTAATGAAATTACCAAATGACACAATTGAATAAGAGAGATATATATTTAGTTCAGGAACATTTTCTAGTTATCCTTCCAGGTTCTCTTCTGAATATGTACAGTGCTAATCAACGAAAATATACAAGATTTTTATGAGCAGCATTGTACCTGAATTATACACTTTTACATTTGTTTCAAATTTAACATTATTTTTCTGTGATATTGAATCGAGTAAGCACTTGTGACTATCAGAAAGCATATTTCTGATTTGTTTTTTTCATTATGTTTGCTGTGATTACCAATTTTGTTTTGCTCATTACAATAATTAACCTTTGACATTTTCGAAAAAATACAAATGGCTTACTCGACTGATTTTAATATTGTTATTTCGATGTTCACATAATTTTTGTCGATTAATTATTTGAAGATCGTAAATCAAATATTTTTGATTTTTTCACAAAATTCTCGTACCTCGTTACGACTTTTGTGTATTCCCCATAATTTCTGGAAAGTTAGATTCTGCATACAGATTTATATTATTCGTTTTCCACCAGACTACTTCCCCTTGATGATTTCATAATTTTTTTAGTCCTGGTTTGGAAAAGTTTATTCCAGGTATACCGGGTATCCCTTCTTGTAGTGTTAAAAATTTTGATATGAAGGGGGGAGGGGAAGGGCAAAAACGCCTGTAGTCGCTATTTCTTGATTAAGTCCGTGGATTTTCTACCTCAAATAATGTTCCCTTAAATACCTTAAACATTTTAAAACTACGAGAATGGACACCTGGTAGTTGTGATTTAATTTATTTCATGTTATTTGATGTG